GTGTATGAGAGTTCTAATTTCTCTGTAGCTGTACCAACACTTGCCGTTAGGTCTTTGTGCTTCTCGTCATCCTAATGGATGGAAGTGGTATTTCACTGTAGGTTTGATTTGCATTTTCCTGATGACTAACGATGTTGAATAACTTTTCACATGCTTATTGGTCATTGGCTTATCTTTTTAGAGAAATATCTATTCCGAGTTCTCGCCTATTTCTTAATTGGGCTATTTATCTTTTTATTATTGAGTTATAAGAGATCTTTAGTGAGTCTAGATATCAGTCCCTTACCAGATATATGACCTGAAAACATTCTCCCCCTTTCTGTGGGCTGCCACTTTGCAGATGTTATTGTTTGTAGTTTACACATTTTTATCTTGAAGTCAGATATCTGTTTTCTTTTATTGCTGTGCTTTTGGTGTCCTATCCAAGAAGGCTTTGCCTAACAAGGTTCCAAAGGTCTATTCCTGCTTTAAGAGTTTGTAGGTTTAGCTCTTACATTGAGTCTACGGCCCATGTTGAGTTCACTTCGGTGTATGGTCTAAGGGCAGGGTGCAGTTAATTCTTTCGCATGTGGCCATGCCTATTTCCTGGCTCCATTTGTTGACAAGGCACCTGGGCTTCACTTTTGAGGCACACACAGTGGGAATAATGGAGAGAGCCGGAACGCTGGGGGCTGCTGTGCTTTTCTGGGGTGCTGCAGTGTCCTGCCATTGACACGGTGCAGTCTCACCCCTTCTCTATCATTGGAAAATACTTGTAGTTTCCTAACAGATATCTGCCTTACATAGGTTCTGGCTTTTGCAGGCCCTACTACAATTATAATTCACTCGTAATCCGGCCCCCAGTTCCAGTGTAAGTACCTAGAGGGCAGGGGCTCTACTTACCTTGCTCATGACTGTATCTACAGCATCGAGCACACCTCCTAATACTAGATGAATGCATTAATAATTGTATAAATAATGTTACCTCTACATACAGCTCTAGAGGCTATAGTTCTTATCATCTCCATGCCACTTAGGCTCATCCTTCCTCATCATGTTGCCTACCATCCCTCCCCATACCCAACTCAGGGAAGGTACAAGGGTACAGGCGGGGCAGACAGGTGACAAATGGGCAGTCAATTAAGGCCCTCTACAACCAGACCCCTATCTTCCTCTAGAAACTTTTGGTCTCAGATTGTGATCTGGCAATACCTAACAACAAGGTGTACAAATCCATCCTCCCCACCACACACACCAGGTGGTTCACTGCTGGGTGCCTCCATGCATGCTGTCCCCTTTGCCTGGAATGTCTTCTGCATCTCTTGGTTATATCCTTCTGGTGTTTTCAGACTTGGATCAGGTGCCCCCACCTCCAGGAAGCTTTCCTTTCTCTAGGATGGTCAGGGCTCTCTGGGCTCCAGCAGATGCTGTACTCTTCTGTCTCACAACACTAAACACACTATGTTGCCACAGTCAGTCTTAGATGACTCCTTTATCAAGGGCGACTCATGCCTGGACAGGTGTCCCCTGTGCCGTGTACAGGACCTGACATGCGGCCAACACTCTGCTGCTGAGCTGATTCTGATGCAGAGCAACTCCGCGGGACAGAAGTGCCCAGAGAATGTCCAAGGCCACAATCTGTACAGAGGCAGATTGGAGCAGCTGTTGAGTTTGAGCTACCACCTTTTTGATTAGCAGCTGAGCACTTAAACCACTGTGCCACCAGGGCTCAACATATGCTCAGCAAACGTCAGTAAAATCAACAATGAATCTTGAGAAAGAGCAGACGGACTGAAGCACGAGATTTAGCACGTCAAGTTTCCTTCATTAGCCTGTTTGAGCTGAAGGACAAGCAAGTTAAACTCACAGGAGGCCTGGTTCCCTGGTGGGAGAAAGGAAATGGGTAGGGGTGTTGTCTTTCACCCAAGTTCATCCTGAAGGGAATGTGATCTTCAATGGGACAACCTGAGGCCTCACTTCTCTCAGGCCTGATTGCTCCCCTCACAGCTCTGCAAAGCCAGCACAGATGTGCCTGCAGTCTGCCCTGTGCCCTGCGTTTCGGATGAACGGTTCCTGAGTTCAGAAGGCAGGCTCAGGTTTGGGCTATGCGAAAGATCCAGGCCACCTGTTCAAATGCTGGCAAGTAGAACAGAGGTCCCAGAATATGCAGAGCCAGAGCTGAGTGTTTTAAGTGCACGAGGTTTAAGTGCTTTTGCTCTGGAGGATGGGGAGAGATAAAAGGATGACCACAGGGGCAAGAGGAGGGTAGGACAGAAAGAGAAGGGGCCCCATCCTGACTCTGACAGAGCCCATGGGCAGATGGAAGTCAGACTAAGGAACACTTGCTGCAGGATTGCTGAAAATCCTTGTATTCTAGGGGAAGAATAAGGAGCAGTGGGAACCAGGTCTTGTCCCTACCATAGAGAGTCAAGCCAAGAAACTTCTTAATACAAAGAATAGAGGGTAGTAAGTGGAAACCCTGCCCTGTGCTGTTAGCCAGGCAGGCCCAGCACACAGGGTTAGCCAGGAAGCAGGTCAACTGTGCCCAGAGCAGCTGGTTTGATCATCTCATACTCTGTCCCTGAGATGGTGAGCATCTCAAACCTGACTGATTTTCCTGTTGAACTGACTGCTTTCAGCTTCTCTTCAAAAGAGTTCCTCTCCTGGTACAGCCTGACCCTTCTGAGATGACACTCAGACCCTCCCAGACCAGGAGACTGCATCGACGGGGAGGAGTTAAAGGTGGCTTCCTTCGTGAGCTGTGTCTGAAAGGCCGGCTGCATGTGAGCAGAGGGGAATTAGAGGGTGGTCTGGGGCGGGGGGGGTGCCCAGGCAGATCCAGGGTGTCCTTACAGAGTAGCACCAGTAGCACTTGCCCCCTGAGCAGAAGGGCACAAGTTGCCACTCATTCGCTAGAACACTCCCAAGGCAGTGGGGGGGGGGGGGGGGGTGTCACGGCTGAGACACACCATGCAGGAGCTTCGAGAGAGGGGGTGAGGGGCAAGAAGAGCACCAGGCAGTAGCATTCTCCAGGTGCTGCTCATTAACCCAGACGTCAAGTTTCAAACCTCACTGGGAACGAAGGGGCTCTGGCCTGTTGCCAGCAGGTCTGCTGGGCAGAGCTAAGGGTCAGGGCACACAGAGGAAGACATCATGAAGTAAGAGTAGCATGAGGTGCCTGTCAGTTACCTAGCGAGTAGAAAGGCTACTAAAATAGCCTCTTCACAGATCTGCCTTCTGTCCTTTCCCGTTCTGTCCATCCTTCACTCTTCTGAAACACTGCTTGAACAGTGTCACTTTCCTGTCCCAAACCTCCTCACCTCCCCACTATTCAGAGGACAGAAATGCAGCCCCATCCCCTGCTCTAGTCACAGTCACGCGGTCCCTGGGCCAGTGGCTGGCCAGCACCTCCTGCCTGCCTGTACTCCTTTACTCTGTATTTGGGGGGTGGGGGTGGTTTGCCATGCTAAAGGGCAGGATTGGCACCTCACATCTGACTCCCTCAGGAGGGTAAAGGGGGAGCCTGAGGCACCCTAGCCAAAGGAGATGGGACAAGACAAACAGCAGGCCAGAAGATTAGTCCGAAAGGTCCCTACAAACACGATCCACATGAACAAGAGTGTTTATTCAGGACAATTCTGTGTCTGTCTCTCTCTCAAACATAGTTTAATTGCTCTCTGTAGAGGTGGGCAGACATGTAGCAGCTAGTTGAAAAACAAATTTAAAAGAGCTACAAGAACCAGTGCTTGGGGACTGAACGGACGGGGTAAACAGCCTCCCCTGGGCAACGAAAAGGTAGGCTCACAGGACCGCTGCTCCACAGGTTGGCCCAGTGAAGGCAGCAGCCGGGCAGCCTCCAGCAGCTCCCAACAGAAGACCCCAGGCCCAGCCAGGACCTGCCTGGCACGGCACAGCCAGTTCTGTTGCACTGCAGCCGAGTGAAGCCGGCTCATCTGTGTCTGGGGGAGTGAAGGCGCCACACAGCCGCAGTTATGGATGGCTCTTATAACAGCAAGCTGACATCTGTGCTTGGTTTCTAAGATGCATCATCGCATGTTTATTAAACTATTCCTCCATCATATTTATTTGGCTACGAAAGAACTCCCAGCTCATACTTTCAAAAGTGGTTTATTAAAAACTAGGCCTTGAACATTAATACTCAAAAGCACCCTTGAGAATCAATAATAATGCTGCAGATAAAATGAAAGGGAATCAAAGCAGTAAGTCTTGGAGGGGCTGTGGCTGCCTTTCAATACCTTCCGTATGTTGAGCAGTGAGCAGGGAGGAGCACTGGCGCAGAGACTGCCCCCCAAACATCTGCCTTCCTTCCTTCCGACATGGGCATGGGGGTTGGGAGGGGAGGAGAGCTCAATGGGGGCCATCAGTTTCGTCCCGAATAAAACCCTCTGCCCCTAACCACCAGCCACACATGCAGGCCCTCTGGTGGCCTAGCTGAGCAGCCATGCTGTTAACGGGCTGAGCCTGAGTTTTGTCCTTCGCTGGCCAAAGAATAAGCCTCCAATCCAACCTATCAGAGGCCAGCAGGGAGGCTGAAGAGTCTGTCCCTAGGCAGGGCATCAGCATCTGCACCCCGGGCCCAGCAGGCGGGACTTTATAGCCCAAAGACTCTCTCACAAAAAGATCTCTTCTGGCTCCCTCCTAAATCCCCAGGCTGCTCCCTGGGAGGCTGCTCCCTTGTTCAGGAAGCAACCAGTGGCACATGGCAGAGTCCACTGAGAAATAAGGACAAACTGGAAGATGCACAGAAGAACCCACGGCTGGGGTGGGGGGTGGGGGAGGGCATCAAGCCACACCCCGTGAAGAATGAAACGGCGGGAAGGATGGAGGGACATTTGGGGTTAGAATAAAGGAGACACAGACACTAACTCCTCATGGGACCAGGAAGCCAAATACTTGGTGACTAGAGAGAAGTCACAGGGCACAGTCCCCAGGTCGGTTTGAGGAAGCGGCCCACCCCTCACCCTGGCTGTGAAGGGAGGAGGATGGGTTTTGACACTCACCTTCTGACTTCTTGGACATTGTTGGCTCGAGCAGCTTCCACCAGGGCGACATCTGGAGAGAGAGGGCACTGGTCAGATCCCTAGCCACAACCTACCATCAAGACTGCTCGGTGAGACAACAGAAGCAGAGGCACTTCACAAACACTGGCTTTAGCAAGGGACACGATGCCGAGGTACATGAAGAGAAGGCTTACCGCTCCCTCCTCACCTGGCTCCCACTGTTACCAGCTTGTCTGGCCACACCTTCCTACCTATAGAACCCAAATACAAGGTGATGCTGTGAAGACAAACATCTTGCCTCGGCTAAGTGTTCATCAGGTGGATTATCTGCCCTCTTCATAGACGCCCTGGTGGCGTAGTGGTTATACGCTAGACTGAGATCCGCAAAGTCTGCAGTTCGACACCACAGCTGCTCCGAGGGAGAGAGATGAGCCTTTCTACTGTCAGCAGTTAAGTCTCTGAAACTCGGAGAGTCAATTTAACCCTGTCCTACAGGGTCACCATGAGTCGGCACTGATGCTAGGGTAGTTCTGTAGGAACCCAGGGAAACAGTGGACTAGTCGGGAGCAAGAAGAGATCGCCTGCTCCTGTTGAGACAGACAGTCTCGGAAAGCCCATGGAATGGTTCCAGTCTGTCCTACAAGGTCTCCAGGAGTCGGAATGGAGTCAATGGAGGGGGATTTCTTCCAAAGTTAGACAGCTCTGTAGAAGTATAATACACTTTATGTCATTGTCATAATTAACGATCTCTCGACATTACCCTACTTCATCCCAATTCCCCATCTCGATTTTGCAGGTCACAAACCCAGGGGAAGGGGCAGGACGAGGTGCAGGCACGGCAGGAGCCCCTCGGAGTGAAGCCTCTGGACTAAAGTCAAGACGCCTGGCTTCAAGTCCTCTGCGTGTGACTGCCATAGTCCCTGTCCCTTTCAGCACCCGACTCCTCACTTCCTTGACCCCCCAGCCCCCCTGCCAGCCTCACGCAGCTGCCACAGAGATGAAATCACAAGTTGAAAAAAATTTGCAAACTCCCTGATGCCTAGGCCAGGCGGGGAGAGCCAGAGCAGTGGAGCCACAGGCAGGCCTAGCACAGGGGCAATGCCCAGCACTGGGCTGCTAACCGGAAGGTCGGTAGAAAAAGACAAGGTAGTCGGCTTCCGTGCAGATGCACAGCCTCGGAAACCTCGGAGAGCCACGGGGCCATTCGGAGTCAGAATCAACCAGCCTTGGGCTTGATTGGGTTTTTAAACCTGGCCCAGCCTGAGCTGCCTACAGCCTGTTAGCACCACCTTGTGGCACAAACAAAACAAAACAAATCCTGCCTGATGAGAAGAAAGCACCAACCAATTCAACAGCTGAGGCTCAATTTTTTTCCAACAGCCCAACAAGTGCTCGTGGAGTCCTGGTGTCACGCCTGGCCCCGAGGTTCATGTCGGGCACTGAACAAACTCATCTCCAGCCCTACCACAGGGAGCCTGCCAGGGCAGTGCAGTGCCACCCAGTGTAACAAGAGGTGGCGGAGGCGCAGCGCGGAAAAACAGGATCTAGAGGCAGGCCAACGCGGGCTCCAGGCCCAGCTCTGCTGCCTACCTCTCTGAGCTGGCCCTATAGTTCAGATGAGGAAACCGGCCCAGAGAGGAGAGGTGAGTCAGCCAGGTCAGTTCTGTGATCCAGAGCCAGGCCTTTGCTGATTGTCTTCCCCAATGGTTCTCCAAGAATACACCCAGGCCTGCTCCGCAGCCCCCAGGAAGGGGAACAACCCTCTCCGAGATCCCTGTTCTCGCCACATGGTCAGACTGTGTGAGGAATGAACTGAAAACCAGGGGGTCTGGCGGCTCAGGTCCCAGGGATGGAACTGGCTGGGGCCTTAATTTTGGTACATATTGATTTCCTTGCTGCGGTTCACACGACACTATCTCAGGGGCACAAAGTGTGATCTGGAATCCCTAGGAGCCTCTACAGAAAGATCATAGTATCCGGGTTCCATGGAAGTCATGGGCCCGGCCTCTAGGCTGTAGTTCTCACCCTGATGCACACTGGAATCACCTATGGTATTCGGAAAGCAGGCTGATGTTTAAGCCCTACACAGATCAACTACATCAGAAACTGGGTTGGGGGTGTTCAATGCTTTATAAGCTCTCCAAGTGATTCCAAACAAAGTTGAGTGCTCAAACCAAATAACAAGAAGTTAAAGACATCCTTCTCTTACAAAGTTAAGGCTCTCAGAATCATACCCTGTGCCATCATCTACCTGGCATGGATATAGTGTCTTTAGGATCAACCTTCCTGTGGTCTCAACTTCCCCTCATTCAAACACTGGCCTCGGGACATTGACTGGATCATGAAACCTTCCATGGTCTCTACTGCCTACAGGAGAAATCCCAAGCACTCCAACCATTCTGCCTGGCATCCAGGCCCCACTCCATCTGCTCTCACCTTATTCCAAAGGCCCCCCTCCTGTCCACCAACCAGGCTAGCCATACTGCTAGGCGCTGCACACACCGTGCTGGCCTGAGACCCTCCTTTGTGCAGGAAGGCTTTGCCTAAAATACAAATCCAACTCAAGGCACATTTGCTGAGTACCTCCTAAGTGCAATGTACTATGGTGAACGATGTGTTGGTATTGGAAAGGGAAGTGGTACCTACCTGAAAAAAGATGCATTTCCTGCTCTCAGTGGGTCCCCCTTTTCCATCTTTTCCTTATTTTTCAGGACTAAAGTGAAAATTCCCTATCCCTCAGAGGTCTCAATCTTCCAGGAAGGATTTCCTGGTCCTGCTAGTTCTCTGAACCCCCAACAACACATAATCCCATTCACCAGACCTCAAGCCCTGACTGCCTGCCTTCACCCATTGTGTCTTAAGTTAGAAGTTCCCACAGTACCTTGCCCAAATTGGACACACAGAAGGTAACCCATCTCCCCTGATCCCCACTCCCCGCCCAGAGGGGCAAATTATAGAATCATAGTCTATCTAAGTTGGAACACTTCAGAGCCTCTAGGTCACCATCCTCATCTTGCAGATGAGGAAACTGGGGGCCAGTGAGGAGGAGCAAGAATCCGGTCACAATGGGAATTCAGAGGCAGAACCCAAACAAGACCCCAGGTGTTCTGACTCCCAGGCCATTGCCCCTCCTGGCAGTTGGCCACAGCCTGCAGAATAAACAGATATAGGCCCAGCAGTCTCCACAGCATGGACTATATGTATGCCAGGCCTCGTCTTCCCCTATAAGGTACAACTGAGTGGCTCTTGTCCACTCTCCCAGGGCTGTCCCACGACGTGGCTGGAGCACTAACCTGGTTCAGCCAGTCCATGTGGTTGCATGGGTTTCTACGTTCTCCCACCGTGGCAGGATCTGGAGACCTGGCACAGCAAAGCCCTGGAGAGAGCTGAGCAGCACCTTTTCCCACTAAGCATACTGGGGGAGAAACCTTCACTTTGTGGAAACAGAAGCCAAAATGGCAGAGGGGTTGGGGGAGTCCGCCCAGAGTGGGCAGAGGCAAAGCTGGCACTGAAACCAAGTCTCTTAGGTCACACCCCACTTAAACGCGACTCTGCACCACCTGGTGGTTGCCCTTAAGGCATCCTGCGGTTCACCGGGCACCTCTTTAAACAGGAGTTGGATCAGGAGGCCTATTAACACACAAAGAGGTCATACTCTAATATTAGATGTTTCAGTTCAATGCCTCGCTGTAGGGGTGGGCAAAATCATGTTCAGAGGGGGAGCTGATCTCTGGGAGCCTCCACTGCAACGGCCTTTGCCCGGTGACCTGCCGCTATCTGGGTCTCTCCAGGACTGAGGCTTTCTGGGTACAATGTCTGTAAGCATCTCCCATCCTGCAAAGGTGCGAAGTCGGGACACTCCTCCCACCTCTACCTTTCTCCAGCCCAGGCAGTTCCCATAATCACCATTGTTGGATGGGTTCTTGCTGTAGCAATGAACCACCAGCGCCGTGGCCAGGGCCCACACGCCCAGTCCAGCTCTGTTGGGGACCCCGCTCCAGCCGTCTTGTCCAGGGAGTGTTTCTTCGGGGTTAGGAAGGCGTCCCCATGCGGTGGCCGCAAAGTACTGGGGGGCCACACGTCCTTCCCGGCGCCCCCCAGCGGCCGCCCCTCGTCCCGCGAGCAAGGCCGGCACTGTCCCGGGGCGCCCCCCGGCGGCTGCCCTCAGCCATGGCAGCTCCCCGGGGCCCCCGGTAGTTACGCTCCGGCCGGAGGCGCCTCCCTGGCTCCGGAGCGACGGAGACCGAAGCAGTCGGATGGAGAGCTGCGGCGCCAGCGCTGTCCTCCTCCATGCCAGGGACCCCAGCATCGTGACAGCTGCTGCTTTTACAAGCCCCTGGTGCCGGCCCCTGTGCTGGCCACGTCCAACATGGCTGCCGCAGCGCGTTCGAAGACGCCGCGAACGAGGTGAGTCGCGCACTGCCTCTCGGGAGTGGTAGTCCAGAACCTTAGAACGCTCCGTCGCTACGGAACAAAGAAACGACATTTCCCAGAAGACTGTGAAACTAATGTCACAATGACGGCCGACTTGTCGGATCCCGGGGCATCTTGGGAAGTGAAGTTCTGGTGGGAGTATGTGGGCGGGGCAGGAAGGGAACTACCTCGGAGGGGCGTGGCTATTGATTACTACTCGGCCAAGGGCGCCGCCTTGCGTTTAAATATTAGAATCTCAGAGCCACTTTTGGTTACAATACCCGTGACGTAGTTTCTGGCTAAAGCTGTAACATTTAGAAGGAACCTTTTGTGAAGTATAGACCTTTTTTTTTTGGTAAAGTATTTTTCAATTCTGCTTGATACAAGGCTTCAGAAAGGAAATGTGTAGGGAAAACGATGATTTTGAAGTAGGAATTTTTTTCCTTTTTTTCTCCCTACACAGATCTCCACTTCCAGGTGTTGATTCAAGAAACGAAGGTGTATGATCATAGCAACTTTATTAGAAACAACCCAAATGTCCAAGAATGAATGAGTGACTAAACAAAATGTGGTAGATCCTCACTTTAAAAAAAAAAAGTTGTCAAGTTGATTGCTACTCATGGCGAACCTGTGTGAGGGAGAACTCCACGGAGTCTCCTTGGATATAAGCTTTATGGAACCAGATCTCACTGTTGATTCTGATTCTTAGCAGCCACCTAGGCCTGGGTAGAACATACCCTGTGTAGAAAACCGCATCTTTCTCTGAGAACAGCTGGTGGATTTGAACTGCTGACCTGGAGGTTAGCAACCCTATGCATAACCACTACACCAGGAGGGCTCCTGGAGTCAGGTCACCCACACACACTTGGGTGCTGCTGGGGGGGCGGGGTTGTCAAATGGCCAACCTTGAGGTTAATAGTCAGGAACCAACTGCACAGCCCTGAAGGATATCGTACTAACCACACCAGACCCAATTCACGATGGATAGGGTTTCACAGAGCACATTTTTAACTGAGGGGACAGCCGCTTTCTCCCACAGTGGCTGGTGAGTGTGTTACCTCAAGGTTAGCGGCTCCACCCTTAACCGCAGTGCCTTCATGTGACTCAGCAAAGGAAAGACACAAACTAAGGAACCGCGGTGGCATACTGGACTGCTAACCCCAAGGCCAGCAGTTTGAACCCACCAGTCACTCTGTAGGATTAAAATGAGGCTTTACTGCTCCCTGAAGTATTTACAGCCTCAGAAACCCAAAAGGGCAGTTCTACTCTGTCCTATAGGATCTCTTTGAGTTGGAATCGGCTCCAAGGTAATGAGTTATTGATATATGCAAGTACCTGGAGGAATCTCAAAGTAATTTTGCTAAGTGAAAGAAGCTAAATCATTTTGTAAAAGATTGCACACTGTACGCAATTCTAGAAAACAAAACCAAATCGATGCTAGCGCAAAGCAGACCGGTGGCTTCCTTGAGATTGGAGATTAGGGAGCGATTGCAAAGAGGCACAAGAAAAGCTTTGGGGGTTGGTAGATGTATGCATTGTCTTGATTTTGGTGATTTAAAAAAAATCATTTTATTGGGGGCTCATACATCTCTTATCACAATCCATCCATCCATTGTGTCAAGCACATATGTACATTTGTTGCCATCATCATTTTCAAAACAATTTCTTTCTACTTGAGCCCTTGGTATCAGCTCCTCATTTTTCTCCCTCCCCCCCCCCTTCCTCGCAAACTCTTGATAATTTATTAAAAATTTTTTTTTCATGTCTTACACTGACCAAGTCTCCCTTCACCCACTTTTCTGTTGTCCATCTCCCGGGGAGGGAGTTATATGTAGATCATTGTGATCAGTTACTCCTTTCTCTCCCCACCTTCCCCTGCCCCTCCTGGTATTGGTACTGTGATTATTGGTCCTGAGGGATTTATCTGTCCTGGATTCTCTGTGAAGAAAGCTGATGGTGCCCCCCTATCAAAAGATATAGCGTCTTGGGTCTTAAAGACTTGAAGATAAGTAAGTGACCATCTAGCAGAGAAGCAACAAAGCCCACATGGAAGAAGAACACCAACCCATGTGATCATGAGCTGTTGACAGGATCAAGTATGAGGCATCAAAGACTTAGAAGAAAAAATCCTATCACTGTGAATGAGGGGGAATGTGGAGTAGAGACCCAAAGCCCATCTGTAGATATTTGGACATGCCCTTACAGAAGGGTCACAAGGAAGAGACAAGCCAATCAGGATGCAGTATAGCACTGATGAAACATACAACTTTCCTCTAGTTCTTTAATGCTTCCCACCCCAACCCCAACCCACTATCATGATCCCAACTCTACCTTACAAATCCAGCTAGACCAGAGGATGCACGGGTACAGATAAGAGCTGGAGACACAGAGAATCCAGGACAGAGAAACCCCTCAGGACCAATAATCACAGTACCAATACCAGGAGGGGAAGGGGAAGGTGGGGAGAGAAAGGAGGAACTGATCACAATGATCTACATATAACTTAAACATGTGCAATTGATTGCAAGTTACATATATCTCAATAACCCAAAAAGCACTGTCATCAAGTAAACTGTCACTCAATGACCCCATATCAGGTTTCTGAGGTGCTGTAAATCTTTGCAGGAACCAACAGTCTTGTCTTTCTCCCTCAGAGCAGCTGTTGGGTTTGAACTACTGGCCTTGTGATTAACAGTCCAATGTTTACCTGAAAGCATCACCAGAGCACTTTACATGTCTCTCAATAAAGTTATTTTAAAAACTATGATGAGCTGCCATTTACTTATCATATTGGTAGAGAGTTTTAAAACTACAAGTGACCACTGTGTGGTTAAATTGGCAAAGAAAAAGATACTCATGTATTGGTAGTGGGACCATAACTGGGCATAATTTCTGACAATATTAAAATATTGGAACTTAAAATATAGACATATTTGCACATGTGTAAAATGAGGAATGTGTGAGGGTATTTGAAACAGCAGGAGATTGGAAGCAACCTATATGTGCACCAGTAGTAGATTTTAGCCATTTCCACGGTGGCACCGATGCATTTGTGCTGAACAGTTGCACAAACTCATTTGGTGCAAGCAGGAGCTGGCTTGTGTCACCACTTAATGTCTCAGTTTTAGATAGTTCGTCTCTGATAGAGCAGGGTGTCACTTCAAGGACTAAGGCATGCCTGACCCCAGCTATGGGATTTCATCCATCTCGTACTATGTGGAAGCTGGTAATAAATAAGGAAGACCGGAGGAGAACGGATGCATTTGAAGGATGGTGCTGGCAAGGATCACTGCAAGTACCGCGGACTGCCAGGACAAACAAATCTGTGCTGAAAGAAGTGCAGCCAACATGCCCTTGAGAGGTCAGTCGGGATGGAGAGGCGCCGTCTCATGAACTCTGAGCATGTGATCAGGAGAGATCGGTCCCTGGAAAAGGGCATCGTTCTTGGCAGGACTTTGCAAAAGAAGAAAGCCCTCAAGGAGATGGATTGACCCAGTGGCTGCAACCGTGGGCTCAAACCTAAGAATTCCAAGGGTGGCCCAGCACCGCGTGCTTGGTTCTGCGGTAGCAGGGTTGCTGTGTGTCTGAACGGAAGTGACGGCCTCGAACAATAACAGGACCCAGAAGCAAGTCGGGAGCTCCTCCAGAAATAGGGACCCGGCGGCAGCAGAAGGCATGGTTTACATCAAACTCTTAGGGGTCTGCCATGTGATTCTACTCTTGGAGCTTGCCATGGGCACCCAAGAGCTCTTTCTGCTGTGGACACTTCCCATGCACGAGGTGTGCTTGGTGTCAACGCTCAAGTGGCAGGGCAGCTGGAACCACAACGTAAACCGAATGAAGAGCCTTTTCTTGTTCTGAGCCCCACTCAGAACTGGCAGCCGATGGCTGGCTGGATATGATGGCACACACTACCTCTTATTTTTAAAGCTGTATTTCAATGGCTAGAACTGTCATCTCTGTATCAGCTTTATCTCCCATCCTCTGGCTTGTCTGGGCTGTTTGCTACTTCTTTCTCACCGGGATCAATGAACATACCATCAGCAATGTCATGGACAAGCATGGGCTATCAAGATAATCTAGACCCCTTCTGACTACTTTATGCAAGAGGCTGGCACAGCCCTGGGACAAATAGTGAGGAAGACAGCCGTCACTGTCACACGGAGGCAGGCTGCTGTGGAGCTGAAAAGAAAGCATTTTGCAGATGCTAGGGTCCCTATTGATTGGCTCCATAAAGGTACCACCTCCAGAAGGCAGCTGCAACCCAATTGGTGACTCGATTACATTCAGAGTCATCCTCATTTATTCTTCAAGATTTACCAAGCTTTCACATTTGTCAAGAAACAAAAACCCGATTCACTGATGCCAGTTAGTCAATTCGGACTCAGAACAACCTTTTTTTTTCTTAAGCAGCCAGCCTCAGCTTCCACCCGTGGAGCAGCTGGGGCTTTGAACCGCTTACTTTGAGGAAACATGCAACAAGACCACCAGGGGCGCATCTGCCAAAAGAACAAATGAAATGGGGTTGTAGTTGTAATAACCAGCCCTGCATCTCTCAAGCTCTGTTGGTAGTGCTTATCTGTAAAATTCTCGCGGGAATGTGCGACTCTCATGGTGGCAAATGGTGCGTGTCTTGTCTCTCCAGTAGCTGGAACACATGGGCCTGGGCATGAAGCAGTAGGATTTCCCTGGAAGCCATACTCCCAACCAGCCACTTGGTAATTTTTCATAATGGAGGAAAGGATTATGAATTGAATCATGTCCTTTCAAAATATGTGTCAGCGAATGCTGAAGACTAAAAGAGGGTCTGAGTTGCTAGGCAGCCGCGCGGGAGATGCAGCTCTGGAAGAAAGGGGACTGGACGGATGGTTTATAACACATCCTTCTCTCTATTGAACAGAAATAGCCAACAGCTCTATGTCAGGATCCCTGTTAG